ACAATTGCTCTAACAGTATCTTTAAAAGTAAATGATGTTACGAAAGTTCTTTTGAACAGTTCACAAAGAAGGAAACAGTTCAGTTAAAACCCACTAACCGTTCCTTTCTTTGGAAGTGCATCTGAACTTATGAACTCTAGATGTCGCAGATCTATAAAAGATCCAATTTTCGAAAAAGAATCGGTCAATTGAACTGAGATTTGCAAGAGATCTAGCTACAACCAATGTTTAATTCGAAGAGATTATCAATGGATAAACTTCTAAATTTTACCTTCATGAATACCCATACCACGCTGTTTTCTTTACAAATTCTTTGATAAAATCATGAACTTTTACTTTCATGGATTCACTCAAGCCTAATTGTAGAGACTTCAACCAAGTTCTGTAGTGTACTCATCAGAATATTATTCGATTCTTTTTTAAACAGTTTTTAAGAAAACCAATCAATGCTCGGTACAGCTCGTTGGGTTTAGACATTTCTGAACCCTGATCCGGACTCGGGCTCGATTGATGAAAATCTATGGAACCCAAGCTAGGAAGAGCTTTATTGATTTTTTTCTAGTCTTTCTAAATAAATTAAAGATTTGTAAAATAAAACGAACAAAAATTTAAAGAAAACCAAGAAATACTGCTATATGCATTCAAGTTTTCTTCCCATCCAGATTCGACTCAAATCTGAGAGAGCTTGTGTCCACGAGTCAGATCCGGTGGGCTTTCGGATTGAATCTCATGATTGAAGAATTTTAATGCTTATCGATTATTAATCTCTTCAAGTTACATGGTGGTCATATTGGTTTGAAGTGTGGTGGAGCATATATTACTAATACCTAAATCGGATAGATAGATAACGATGTTAGAGAGCTGCGTGACAAGAAACTATACAAACCATGCAAAAAATATCGCAAGATAGTTTATAGTCAAGAATGCTTTGTTTTGAGCTTATTAAAATCTGATTTGCTAATTGCAAGATGAGTTTCACGTGACTTTAATCAATTTTTTAAGAAAAAGCCAATTAAAAGCAGAGTTTTTTTTGCTTTTTTAACACCAAAAATAGCACCATAGAATGTAGAAGCTGACTATCTAAAATCGAGCATCTACGTTTTTGTGTCGTGACCACGAAGGCCACAAGTGTCTAGCTTTCGAAAGCGGAGCGACTGGATTGTCTGAGCGTTAATTCATTCGCACGGTTCACATTTCTATATGTGACTATCTTCGTTCTGGAGAAGTTCGAAAAAAGACCCAAATTGTTTACATATGGATGCTACTAGAAGTATTAATTGGGACCTGCGTCAATTATTGATGAAACTAGTACTAAGCTAAAAAGAATTTGTGTCAGTTTAATTCAATTAATAGGATAGGAGAGAACATGATAAAATACTCAATGAACCACTTTTGTTGAGACTTATGATTTGTAAATCTTATTGAAAAAATTCTCTGCTGGAAGAACCTTCCCGATATCACATCAGTTAGACTGCGTCACGGAAATGTGTTCAACTGACTAATACACCTGATTATATAAAAGTCTGAATGAACTGAATGTCATGAGTCAATTATGACCCTAGTGAGATATTTTTTGAAAAGTGTTTTTGTTTTATTTGTAGAATATATATTATTTGTTTATTATTGAAAAGGTATTTTATATTTCAACATGGCTACATGTGGTGATTCCAATGCACAGCAATATGTGCGAGTTTCTGATATTGCGAAGGAACCACAAAAGATGCTCATGCCAATTCGTGGGTATGAGAAAATGCCGCCAGTATCATTGGAAGAGGCAGTCGAACCATTAGTCTCGATATTGCCTGAAGTTCAAGATTATGCATATGTCGCAAAACAAAGATGTGATCCAGTACCTCCCGATGGTTTAACAAAAGATCAATCGGCTTCAATTATACTGTATACAATGGAATGGGAGCCAAATGAAGAATGTTTATACTTCGCTTTAAATGCAACACTTCGTGCTGAAGACAGGCGAAAACTAAAACCATGGTTTTCGTATTTGAAACTCGTTCTTACAGCATTAGCACAATTGCCAGGTAAACGACAGACTGTTTATCGTGGAGTGAAAATGGATTTAAGCAAACAATATCCACTCGGAAAAACATTTGTTTGGTGGGGATTTTCTTCATGTGCTTCAAAAATGGGAGTACTTGAAAATGAACAATTTTTGGGCAAATCTGGTAACAGAACAATGTTTACCATCGATAGCGAAAGTGGAAGAGATATTAGACGTCATTCCTACTTTCAATCGGAAGATGAAATCCTTCTTCTTCCTGCTCGACAATTTGAAGTAGTTTCTTCATTGCAACCAGCATCTGGTCTTCACATGATTCAACTCACAGAAACTGCATCTCCAATTTCCCTCTTACAACTGGTTCCAAATGTTTCTAATTCGAAGGAATCATCGACAAGTAAGACGAAAGTTTTCATGTATTCTTGATCATAAATATTAAGACTAAGAATTTGATGAAAAACTATTAATAGAATATTGAAGTTATGAACGTGACCCTTTTGAGTAGAATTGTTTTGAGGAGCATCTTTACAAAATTTTAAGTAGATAAGGAACTGTAGAGCCTAGTAAGCCAACATTTCTTCTGCTAGAATTTTGCCATCTGAATTCGGATAATATCGACTAAACTCTTTGAGAATAATGGTTATATTAATTATAACTGGATATTTTACCCAGGGAGTTGAAAAAAATGACATTAAAACGATGAAAATAAACATAAGAATTGATTTATATCAATTTCATCGATTAAAATAAACATTGTCATCAATCGAACCGTTTATTTTTCGTCACATCAAATATATTACATTTGGTTGATTAAGCTCCTTAATCTTATCAATCAAATCGCTACACAGTAGTTTTGATGTTCATTTGATCGTCGAATATGTAATTTTTTCTCGTGATTTTAATATAAAAATCATGATATTCATGAAAAATTGGTGATGTTTCATCTCTATAAGTATTATTGAATTTCCACTGAAATTTACATTGTACATATATCCAACTTTTCTTGTTCTGTTTTTTCTTCTACCTTACTTGTTTGGTCTACTCGGTTTTTCAATTTCTATCTATGGGCGAGGACATGATTCTTCTTTTTTTACTATCATTTATTTCCTGTTTCCATGTTTCTCTTCAGATCGATTATGAACAACCTCGCTGTTTCTTCGTTGTTCATATCTCTGTTTTTGCTAGTATGCATCGCCTTATTTTAATTCTTGATAAGTTTAAATATATTCGCGTCTCAGCGTCTTTTATCTATTCATATCAGTAAGAAAGTTCACGCAAAGTTGAACATCTATTTGGAGAAAAAGTTCTTCCAACTTATCTTGTCTAGAACGAATGTTTAAGATAGTGGCCTTGATTTTTTGAATCAAAAGCAATAAAAAAAAACAGTAAAAAATCGAAAACACAAAAAAACTGGCAAGAAACATACATGTATGAACAAGCAGATGTGTGTACTCAGTAAAAAAAAACATTATATTTTCATCAGCTGACAAATTTAGAGAGGTACATGAGTCATGATCCATTAGGGTTTTGCCAATACTATGGTAAAGATTTTGTAGATTTCTACTAATTATAGCGCAAGAGCCTTAAATCAGTATGCATATGAAGACTAAATATAATGCTGTTAAAATGTATCTCGTTACTTACATTCATCTATATAGTCGGTATAAATCTCCATAATCTACGCTTAACGAACACACGGATTAACGAATATCCGAACACAGAAATTCGTATTGGCGAAATTCAACAGATCAACAGAGGGACTTTCTACTCATGAAGAGTTGAATTAGATTTGTGCTAGTTCCAGATTCCTCTCAGAAATGTTTTTTCATTCATAAAAACGTTGATTTTTTTCCATTTGAGTTGATATTCGTAATTTTCAAGTAGTCTTTAGTGTTTTGACTTAATAAATTGATGGTTTTCGCAACAAATAATGAATGGTTCTGTGAAGCATTTAGTCTAATACGGCTACATGCTAACAATTCTTTAAATGAGTCAATAACTATCTTTCAGTTGAAACTCATCATAGAGAAGAGAAAGTTGACAATCAATAGTAATTAAGTGGAAAGTGGTAGAGCTGAAATGGTACACATTGTGAAGACGTGCACCAAATTCAGCAGCAATATACAAAATATAGATGTATGCTCATATTGTCTGTAAAGTAGGGAAAATGAAGTTAAACTAGTTGAATGATATAGTTCGCGTCTGTTTTACATAGACGTACTTAATGTTAGATGCAGTTATATCTTGAGTAAGCATCACTCAAATTTGCAAGACACTTTTGTGAGAAGAAAGCAACATATAATCTAGACAAATTTTTGAAAAGAATGAAGTAAAGTGTAAGCAATAAATTATTGAGCGAATAAAGGATTCGATTTCAAATTATTCAAGTAATTTTAGCGTTATTTTCAAGTATTTCTCTTCAATTATTTAGAGTGCTGCTATTTAACTACATTTTTGCAGTTCATTTTTCGACCATCCAATGCGAATTGTGAAGAAAATACCTCGTGGAGTCGTCATTTTCTGTATTTTTTCTGGGCTTTTCAAATTGAAATGCTTTCAAACGATATTGTCAACATACAAAATTGTCAGAGTTCTATAGCGCGCAACGTACAAATCGATATCGAATATCTATCAAGGATACATTGTTTGTCTAGATGGTAGTAAAAACAACGTAGCAGTTTTCAGAGCATAAGCATCTTCAAGTATAATATTGGTTAGGAGTGCTGATGCATGTGCGTGTGAGCAATAACGAATTAAATACTCCAAAATACTTTCGGAGAATAAATTGAGCATTCTTAAACTGTCACATTATGTAAAATTAATATGATAATATTAAATATAAAACTGTAAATATTTCGACTTCTATTAAATAAATTTTCATGTTGTAGTGTTCTTTACAAGAATTTTGAAGTCATGTGTTCCAGTCGTAAATGAGTTTTGATAGGATTAATTCTTCAAAGAACATAAATGTTTGCAAAAAGATGAACAGAACTTCTACGAAAATGATAATAAATGAAAGAAAGCGATTAAAATATTGAATAGAAAAGGAAGAGTAGTTTACTGTATTATTTATTCGTTGCTTGATGTCACGAGAAACAGTCTGCGTACCGATTTGACAATTAAAAGAATTTAAATCTGATTCGATTGATTAAGAAGCAGAGTGAAGTATGTTATAGAAAAAAAAACGATATGAAAAGCTGTAAAAATCAACTTTTTTTGATTTTCTTTTTTTCGAGTATTTAAAATAGAAGATCTTTCTGGTCATTTATTGAACTAGGTGTGAAAAATTCTTATCACTTGTTCATCTTTCTACAATTATTGTTTAATAGATTTTAGCTCAAAAATGGAGCATGAACCAGTTGCTGCTCCAGTTCAGCAAAATGCCAGCAAGATCGAAAGCAGCGCAAGTGCTTCAGCTGTACCGAAACCAATGGCATCATACACATTCACAACAGATCACAAGAAGCCAGGTATGCTAATAAAAAAAATCAGAGTTAACAAACCTTCCTATAGTTGATGCTTGTAGTAATTTTATCTAAATCGATCAAATGATTGACTAGCAGAACATTTTATATTGAATTGAATAGATAATTCTACATGAGATGTTTCTCTATTTGCAATCTATTGTTAACTAATACTTTCCTTGCACACTCTCGTTACCCATATATATTTTATTAAAATTCATCCAATCAATCGATGACTTAATTGCACCATCTAAGTGAAGATTTAACTCTGTTTCTATTAACAGAAATCTTTTCCAGATAAAAATGTTTCATAGTTTTAGAGTAAGCTGTAATAATTAACTCTGTTCAATTTGTATCTTAAAACAAACAGATTTTTTTGCATTGTCATAATCAGAGTAAAGCAATTTATAGAACTCGAGTCGAGTCGTACACTCTACAAAAGTTCATCAGCGTGTTTTAAGATGTATTATATGATGTTAAACCGTCAGTTTCTCATTGAAGTCGTAGTCTATTTCTATCTATCAGAAATACTTTGAAGATTGTGTTTGTTGTTTTAAAATTTACTACTCAATTTTAAAAATTAAGTCTAACATGTCTCGATTTGAGAGAAACACAACTTTTGAAAATCTTTAACTAAAGAACACATGTTCCTCAAAGCTCAGATGTCATTTAAAGAACTTATTTGATAAAGAAGTAATTTTTATAATAAAATATTAAAAACGACATGAGCAATGTTTTTTAGAGGCTCAAAACTCGAAAATGCATTATGACTATGTCTTCGTAGAGAACACTGGCCGAGCCCAACCTTAGCTTTCAACAGTTGATATTAAGCATTGTTTAGATAATTATGAAATTAAATTGATATATATGTATGTCAACCATAAATAATTCTATTGAGATCATCAAATTAAAAAGGCATCTCCGGATCATTTTTTAGAGAAGTTTCACATAATCAAAACTAAACTGAAAAATCGAAACGTGAGAACGAACAACTTATGTATGTTTCACATTTTCGACCACATTCAGGATATTGACGCGCATGATACTTTCAACTTGACTTAATCTTTACAGATTGCTGGATCCTTGACGATCAAATCTGTTTCAATAGCATCTGCAAAGGACTAAAATATAACGGATAATGAACGGAGCTGTTTAAGTCATAAATAAGAATTTGCGCTACTTGTGTAGCTTTTCTTGATTAGTTCTTAAGAGTAAGATGTCTAGAGGTCTGCTATAGCACATGATGAACATCACGAGATTATCTCTTTGCAAGCAACACTGGAGTTTTTCTATTTACGAATTTGAAAGTTCCAAAATATTCAATATCTGAAATCTGCTTGTGGTTTTCATATGCATGAGACTCTCTAGGATAGTCTCTGAAATATTAATTTTTTTGCTATATACTTGAACCCTAATTACTAATCGTCCTGGATAAAAATTTAATTTGAATAATTTTAATTTTTGTTTAGCGCATCAAGAATTGGCTGCACCCGGCAAATTCAAGGAGCAATTTCAAAATTATTCAATACTAGTCTGACCACTGAATAGAACAGTAGCTTTAGAGGGGTCTTCCGAACAGAGAAAAATAAATGAACAGAATTTTTGTCGTGAAGAATCATGTATTCTATGATTGTTCACTTGTTGATTTTGACAGAATTTTCAGGTGTAGAGAGGTAAATAATTGAACAGATTGTTGGGGGTCGTTCTATGCAGTCACTTTTTATAGGAACTGTGTTCCTTTGAAGACCTTCTTAACATGCTTTTGAAAG